TGCTTAGCGAGTGACCCTTTTGATGTTGTTTGTGTCGTAATGGTTAGGTGACAGTAATGAATTTGTGCTAAGGCGAGACACTTGGTATTGAATTTTTGCAAACGGTGGCATGGTGTCTCATACCAATAATGCTCCTCTCAGTGTCCCGATACATTCCTGTGCGCGTGGGGTTTTGCACTGTGTTACTGATGTTGTCAAAAAGAAATTCAGTGTTATCTGCCACGGTTTTCCTGTTTCACTTATGATAGCATGCAGCTATGGAAATTTTGTTGCAGAGTTGTCCACTGACAAATGGCGTTTGGGCTGGAGAAGTGAGGAAACAGTGGTATCACACGTTTTCTTATGATGCCGTGGTGTCCTTTTCTCCAGAGGTACACCTTTGCCACTGGCCCCGAGTAGGTAGGTCATGTTGGGGGGCTCCAAAAGACAGCTTCTATCTCTGGAAAAGGTTTATAGAGTCTGAACATACCCCAGCACTTAAGGAAAACAGTCAGCAGTATTAAAATACTCTGTTTTGTGGAAGTAGATCATTGGTTTAGTTCCTCCAGGAGGGGAGAAAAATTATTGCCTGGGTCCTTTAAGGCAGTTTGAGAGCCACATAAATGTTTTCACAGTGACTTAAAACTGAATTAAAGCCAGAGCAAGAATGTTTTCGTACAGTAACGGATACTTAATGCCAGAATGTTGATTAATATTACATCTCTTCCCAAACATGATCTATGTAACAACATGAGGTTTGCATTGGAATAGCTGGCTCGGGTTCACAACATTGGCAAGGCTCCCTTTTCTCCTTCTAAAAACACAACTTCTCCCTTTCACTCTTACCTTCCGTCTTTGTTTTGGATAGTTTTCTAACTGCGCAATCACTTGCTTGAGGCGGCATGAGCTCCGCAACATGTGGCATATGTGTACATGTATGGCCCATGCCTTTGTCTTCCAGATGCTGGTAGAAAGCAAAAGGGTTCATACATCAGTATTCTGCTGTCTCTGCAACAGACTGCCCTGTTATCTCAAGTATGAAGTATATCTGGTGCAGGAGTAAACTCCAGGAGGGCTTGGGGAGAAAGCTTTGCCCGTGGAGTGAGCTGTTGGCTGAACCCAGTCCAGTAGTTCTGCTGCTTGCACAGTGAAAGCCTGATTATTGTACGTATTATAAATTGGCTTCTGAATGGCTGGCTGGATGTAGCCTGTAAAATATTTGCTTGCAAATTCATTTGTAGGAATACTTCAGAAAATTGCTGAAAGCACAATAAATATTTATACCTCACTACAGTGTCAATTCCTGTAGTAGTTGCTTACCTAATCTGTAGTAATTGAGCACGTTTATGGCTTTACTCAACCAAAAATTTTTTTAGCCATTATTATAGCTGCACCTAGTACATGTACAGTTTGTATTAGTTTGCGCAGGGATTCTTTATCACAGTTTCAGATGAGATACCCAAAGTCCCTGTATGTGATCCTGGATGAATATTGGTGCCCCGGGTCCAGTTCCCCTGATGCAGAGAGCGCTGTGATGCGTCCATGGGCATCATGCTTGCCATAAGGTTTTGCTCTGCTTCCATAAATTGTATCAGTGGTTTAAAAACGTCCAGTTCTTTCGAGTTTTGAATGTGGTGGTTCAGTTTCTTTGCATTTGATCATCACTGCTAACCAAAAGACCCACAAGTATTTCACTCTGGGACTCTTACTATTTCAGCTTAATAATAATTGCTTTGGAGGACGCAGCATTTGGGAATGAGCATTCAGATAGATACGGAGAAAAGTATATTTGAAGCGTCTGGACACTAATAATTTACTTACGCTTTTAATTATTTGTTGGCAGTACTTTTACCTAAAGCTGTTCTGGAAATACAGAACTGGTTAAGGTAGCATAAAATAATCATGAATCAAGATCACAAAAAAATTCTGCTTTAATGTGAGTCTCACCACTCATGTGGGTTGGGCTTTTTTCTAGCTTTCTTTTTTTTTAATGAAATTATTGCTTCAAGGATGAAACCTTTATTGACTACTCTTTTAGGAGGGAAAAAATAACAGGAAGCAGAACATTAGATATTGTGCTCATCAGAGTTATCTCCAGGATGTGTTACTGGGACATGTCTGCACTGGGTTAGTAGAGGATAGGATACACCTTTTCCATATGCCTCAGAAATACTGAAAAGCTGGCAGACATGGGGAAGAATGCAATTTGCTGCATAAGAAGACACAAAAGAATAGTAATTTTCTTGTTAAATCACATTTGGTCTCAGTAATAGCTAATGCAGGGTTTTGGGGGTTGGGGGTGTGTGTGTTATTGTTTTCTTTCCTTCGAGAGGTGGGTGTTTCTGTCTTATTACCAATTATTCTCCAACAGTGAGATTTCTTGGGGGTCTTTTTGGTCTTTCCTGGTGATTTCATCTTTTCACTGAACTGTCTTATGAGCTATTCAAGCCACAGTTTAATCCTGCATTGTACTCTCTAAGTCTAAATAACTTCTCCGTTTTTACTCAGATAGGAGCAAAATCATAGTCTGTGGGACTTCCCTACCCCTTCCATGATTGGATTGTGATAGTGTTTTGTATTTAATCAAGTTAATGTTATGATACTTGTTCACATAATATGTTTTTGAATTTTGCAGAACTTATTATTGCAGAAAGGTTTTTATACCTATCTAGATTCTAACAACATTCTAGGTGTTGGAAGAAACAAACTCTAATTTTTATAGGAACTGATACCATCTACTGTTTAACGAGAGAAAGCTTGACCAGGGCTGTTTTGCATCTACATCTCACCCTTTTTATTGTGTTTTCAGGCTTTACGCTTTTTAAGCTTTTCTTGTGAGACTGAACATTTTTTCTCTCCCATTTCTCTCTTCCCCCTTTCAAGAATCTTACAAATTAAGACAAAAGATAATTACTCTGAGGGTAAAACTGGCAGGGTTCCCACGACACTTAAAATTAATGAGCTGTTGCATATAAAATATACCTTGTCTCATGTTCGCTGGGTTTTTTTTGGTGAGCCATAAAAGTGCACAATTTGGCTTTTTGGCTGTGTTTTCTGTTTTAGTAATTTTCAGTTTATAGAGTGGCAACTGAATACAGAAAACTAATCTATCTGACTTAATGTTTCCGTATGAGTAGATCAGTATATACAGTTTGTTCCCTCCAAAGGAAAATATCACTTGCAGTGATGAAATACATATTAACGAAGCTGCCATCGGTTGTTTGGGCTATGTCTTATTAAAAAGAAATAGTCATGCTTCCTACATCTGCAAGCGCCTTCCATCTGATGTGAGAACTCCTTACAAAGGAGGATGAATGTATTGTCGTGAACTCCCTGAGAGGGGTTTGCAATTATTATCAGTTCCATCACTGGAAATGAGACATGGAGGTTACATGACTTTCGCTGAAATCACTGAGAAATCCTTGGCTGGCTGAGGCAGTGCCAGTTGTTCCTGAGCTCAGGAGTGGCAGAGCCACAGGGAATTTGCTGTGACTTTGCTGCTGATGGCTTTTCTTCGGCTCTTACTCAATTTATGCAAGAGGGAAGGAAGAGAGGAGGAAGAGCAATTGTAATTATTTACTTTTTACATAATCTGCTTCATCACTTATGACCATCTGAATATGCTAAGTGGCCTGAATAACAAATTTGTTCATAGGTTCTTGGAACTGAGGCTTCTGGAGATGCCGTGAGAAGGTAGATAGCTGGTTGGGAAAGTTTGGAGGTAGATGTTCACTCAAAACCAGCTTAGATGCCCCTCTTCTGTCCGGCAGGATTTTGGGTTGGTTATTAGTCTTACTATTACTGCTGCTACTACTGTAATATACTGCAGGACATCTGTAGAGACAGCTAAGCCTCACGATTTAGAAAGGTATGCGTCCGTCGTAGGTATATCATGTTTAGTGGCAAAAGAAGGCTTTAATTTCACAAGAAAACAATCGCTTCATTCATTTAATTAATATTCCCAAGCAGATGGTTTGTGTTTTATGTAATAAATATGATTTTTAGATACCTGTGCTATTAAGAATGAATTTTCTTATTTACGTCCTTTCCTAAATCATGTCAAAACAGGAAGGGGTAAAAACCAAGAGTATATGAGTAGAAAAGGCAGGAGGGCACTTGCCTTTTTAGGTGTTGGATCACAAGCCTCGTGGACTTCTGTCAAGTGCTTCACTGAAGAGGGGGCAGCACTGACACAAATTCACCAATTTTTTTATTAACAAACAAACAGAAATGTGACATGGATTTTTTTTTAACCTTAGCTTTTCATGTGCCTTGACAGCAAAAGAGCAGTGACTGTCATTAAATAAATTCAGCAGAGGCACAGGAACAAAAATTGCGGAGATAGACTTGTATACATTTGCATAATATTTATTGTACAAAAAATAGGGTTTCTGTTCTGTGCTTTCTTATTGCTTCACTTCAGCAGAAGGCTGGGGTGCTCAGCATGGGTCCCAGCATTACCTTATATGACATGTTCCAAAATGGTTTTAGTATTTCTGTTTCTTTGCAGAAGTACCTTTTCTATTTTCAGCTTGTCTGCTATAGGCAAACTGCTGCCAGTTTTGTTCAGCAGTTTGGATACTGATGATAACAAAACATGCTTTTTGATGGAACATTTCCTTTCTTTCACATGACTGTAAAAAGAAATCCTTTTTGTGTTTAGGATATATTTAGAATTCCGTCGCTGCAACAGCAAAAAGTTAATTAAAACTGTCATAAATAAAAACCAAACTGCCAGGTCTAAATTTAGGTCAATCAAAACAGTAATGTACCTTATATGTTTTAATTTGGATGTTGAATATAATGTGTGTTAACAAGCAAAGGAAATACTTTACTAAATCTGTTCATATAAAGAAATATGCAAAATAGTGCTTCTACTTCTGTGTTGATTTTACTTTAGGTACAAGGAGACACTCAGTAAATATGCAGCACTGACAGCAGAAAAAGTTGGGTTGCTTTGAATGTGGAGTTTTTTTCTTTTTCTTTTTTTTCTGTAATAGTCTGATTCTCTCTTTTCGCAGTGTTCAATGGGTCCAGCAAATCATTGAAGGAGAAAGAACCTGCTCAGAAACACAAAAGCAAAGAGGCCACACCAGGGAAGGAGAGGAACAGCGAACATAAGGCTGAGAGCCGAAAAGACCAGGCTGCTGCTAATCACCACCCTACTACAAACACTGGCTCCTCTGCGAAAGGGCTCACCGCTAACAACCACCACACTCTACATAGATCGGCTCAGGACTTAAGGAAACAGGTAATGAATTTTACTCTACCGTGGACACATGGGAAATGCAGACTTTTAAGGTGCTAGCTCCATTTTCCAGTGCCTGGCATAGAGTGAACATAGCAGTCCTTAAAAGCATGCTCTAGAGACAGCGAGGATTTAATTTTCGGTGAAAGAGAGAGAAAGAAGGAAAAAAGAAAAGTGATACGTACATGGGAAGTCAGTAAGATAAAGCATGCTTTACAACCCTTTCTATTATCCAGTGTATACATATGGAAGAGTAACGTTCACATGGCTGTTTATCAAACCGTTCCAACTGGCACTCTTGTTGGCCTCTCTTCTGACAGTGCCAAGGCTGGCAGCACGTGGAAAAATGAACTCCTTTTGTGCACGGCTGTTCTGCTTGGGTTATCTTGGAGGCTCGCTGGTGTTGTAGAGGAGCTGACATTGCGCTGAGGTGTCTGGTATTGCATGTGGGTGACGCAAACCTCAGAGTCCGAGAAAAATATTTTGCCCGATGCATAAGAAGGAGCTTGAGGATATTGTCTCCTTCACAGCGGATATGGGGAAAAAATCTGACTTTCATGTTACCTGGTTGAAAACTAAGAAAAAAATTCAGCAAGAGGTTTGTCTCAGCCTGACTTGTATTTGGGTGTGGAAGTTTAGCAGACCAATCTTCTGGTGCTTGTGACTGGCATTTGGGCAGGATGTGTCTCCCATCTCTTTTTGATAATCGGATTAAAGCACTCCTAAAATAGCAACTGTCAAATAAGTGTTTTATAAAAGACTTTCAAAATCCCTGGTTAGCGTCCTTATTCAGTCTTGTGCTGGGTTAGCAGGGTACCTGTGCTAGGGCAGTGCAATACAGAGAGCTCACTGCACGTAGCTTTTTTTTTTTTTTTTTAACAGTAGTTCATTCTCAACAGGCAAATTAGAGACAGTCTTTATTTTTTGGCATCTAGAGGTTTTTCTTCTAAGTAGGCTGTCTTGCACTTCAGTGGAGCTGGTATTGCCCTCTTGTAGGACTGTCAAGGCCTTAAATGGCACCTCTCAGTCAGAAGTTTGGAAATTAAAAATGACAAAAAGAAAAACTGGTGTTTTTTCTGAGGACATCTTCCCTGCCCTGTGCTTCAGTGGTGTTTAGCTTCTCCTGGAAGCTAGTACTGGATTTGTATTACCTTCTAAATCACATTTGAGATCCTAAAGGCTATCTGTAGTATATTTCTCCGTGCCTCTGTAAAACTTCCGGTTTTTATTCCCCCATGGCAATTTTTGCTTACCTAGTCATCAGCTTGAATGCCTACCGCCTTCTGCATCCTTTCGGCTTTCTTTTTTGTGACTACCAGCATCCTATGGTCCTTGCTGTGACATGTTCTACTCCTCATGTTGAACAAGTTTTCCAAAGCTTAAGGATGCACATAATTATTTTACCTCATGGGAACACTTGTGTGAAATGCTTTAAAGTTGTATCATCAAAGCATGAATGTTTAAAATTCTTGTGGAAGTCAACTGCTGTCATTTGTGAAGGTAGTTCTGAGAAGGGAAAACACGTTCAATGTAGAAGAATTCTGTCCACGGTCCAAAGTGGGTTTTGCTTCGAGGAGTATTAGATGTTTGCAATTGTACTATGCAAAATGGAGAGAAATTCTAAAGCAATGCAGTGCAACCAGCAGTCACACCACACAGACACCTCATGGGAGTTTGGGCCTCAAGCTTCAGAAGATAAGGGGGCTGTAAATTGAGATTATGATTTTAAAAAAAGTAGTTTAAATTTTCTTCTGCAACCCACAGTAACATAAGGACTTTCTTACCAATTTTGGTGAAAATGTGGCTGTAACTAATTAAAGGTGGATTATACCTGACACAAAGACTTAGCATTGTACAAAACCTTAAATTTAACCAGTTATTTGACATTGTTGAATTTCCTTCCCTTGTCCTGAGTCTGTGTTGACATTTTCAGTATTTTCCAGGAGGTGAGTTGTTCTCCCAGGGTGTTCTCCCCATGTTTTTCTTCCTCCTTCCAGTACATTTTTGCTCCTTGTTCACATGCATTTATGTGGTTTATTTATGTGTGTAGTTTTGTTTTGTTCAGTCGTACAGAAAATAATGGCAGAACACTAGAGATTACCCAAGATTTTCTTTTTTCCTCTCATTCTTTCTTTCCTTTTCTGGTGTGCACTTGCACTTGTTACATGTTCCCTCTTTCTTTCTTCCTCCCTTGCTATCTTCCCAAATCCCTTCTACTTAAAAGGATTGTGGGCAAAGGAAATGTAGTTCAATGGGGCCCTCTCTTGGCCTAATACGGTAATTTAGCTCAGCAAAACACAGAAGCGTTTTTATGAATGAATTTGAGATCAGTTGCATAACTTGAATTTGCTTGGGACCAAAACTGTTGTTGATATTGCTAATGTTGGTGTTGCTAATGTTGGTGTTATTACTGTGGTTGTTATCTCACAAGTTGTTTGTTGGCTTTATGTTGTGTTTGCGTGTGTATGTGTCTGGAGGATGGTTCCTAGGTGCTATGCAGGGGTGTGTATGAAGACCAGTTCAAATCCAAGAAACAAATTGCTGCAAGACTATGTGCTGGTCCCATTTACTCTCTAAAAGACAACAAAATTTAAGATCTATCGTGCTGTCTTTTACTGCAAGTCAAGTGTTCAGTAAAGTGGAGAAGAGTGTCTGAAGACAAATACATGTCAGCAAAACTGAGAAGATAGCTGAAAAGCAAAGATAAGATTATTCATATCCTTTAGCTCAAGACTTTGAGTCATGTAAGGCTAATGTCAATCACTTTGTTACTATTTGAATTAAATTTACTTATTTCTTATGTGCTCAGTGTAAGCACTGCCTCGGGATGGAGCTGTGGCATAGACCCCCATTTGGTGAACCTGCGCACCTGACAGTGTGGCCAATTTTTTAGGCTGACTCTGTGTGTGTATGTTTGGTTTGGGGGGAGACATATCAACAGTAGAAAGGTAAGAAAATGCCTACCACAATTTCTTGTTTCTTTTGGTTCCAATCACCTGATGGGTCCTCAGAGACAAGTACAGACCATGAATGTGTAGGTGATGACTGACCAGCCAGAATTTCACATTTGTCAGTGTGAAATCTTGAATCCACCTGTTGCTTTGATGGTGGGCTGTGACCATGTTGTTTGTTCCACTTGTTTCCAGCTGGAAGATGTTTGTTGCAACCTATTCCTGTTTGAAGCATGGTCTGTTCTGGTCTATATAGTACTTCTGTATCTTAAACATTACTCTCTGAAAACACTCAAGATACCTGTGGGCATCTGGGGAGAAGCATTTGAAAACCATTGTGTTGAGTCTGCTCTAGAAAGATGATGGTCCTGAGGAAGTTTTCATCAGTGCTTGTTTCTTGTGGGGTCTTCTTAGTTAGCAACCAGAAAGAAATAAGTGAATCCCTGATGGTGTTCTCAACTTCAGAGTCGAGATGGGGCTTTGAGCAACCTGACATAGTGGAAGGTGTCCCTGCCTATAGCGGGGGGGTTGGAACTAGATGGTCTTTAAGGTCTCTTCCAACCCAAACCATTCTGTGATTCTGTGACTCAGGACCTGTTCATCGCTGGAATACTGTCACTAAGTTTGAACAAAAACTCGAAACAGTGTGCCTGTAATCTGGGATTGGAGGTTAGATAGGCGAAGCTTATGTACCTGTTCAGCTCAAGATTTGGCCCTGAGAGATCTAAGCTTTCGTTGTGTGGAGGCATTCTAGCAACTCTAAACCGTTGTGGTAAGTTGCTGTTTTGTTAATTAATTCAGTTTTCCAGAGTTTTGTATCTTGGCAGTTTTAATTCTGGCCTAAAGCTGATGGTGCTGATGGCATGTTTTCCTTTGAATAGGAGGGGCTTGTGAGCATCCTGTCTTTCTCCATGAGCACTTTCTTTATGACTGTGTTTTGTTCTCAGGCCCTGTGTCACCACCCCTTACTGAAGGAGTGCCCTGGATGGCCCTTCAGGCGCCTGGTCACAAATTCTTAAAATAAAAAACCTCGTAGGAAGGCTGGAGTGACAGTGTACATCCGTACAGCCGGACTGCTCACTCTGAGGTGGTGCCTTGACTGTACCTGACAGCACAGTAGTATACTTACGGCCTCCTTGAAACCTTCTGGAAAACCTCCCATAGAGGAGACTCCGCAAGTCCCATTGACAGCTTCTTCCAGTGTTTTCCTTTTCTACTAATAAGAAGGTTTTCCTAGTTGTGCCTCGCATCTTCTTTGTAGAAAATAAAAGTGTTTTTTTCCCCCCTGATTTTCACACTGAACCTGGAAAGACAGTTAGACTTTTCCCATAGTCATCTCTTTCAGAATAACTAAGCCCAGCTCCCTTGGCTTTTCAGCAAGGTCATATTTTCCAAATACCTGAGCACTTTGTGTTCTTTTAGACTTGCTGCCCTGTGTAAGTTTTTCTCACAGTGTGGTCCCGATGCTGGGTCCAGCCCTGCATAGGAAGGTGTTTTCTCTCGTCCCTTGCTTTTGGCATTTGTAGTAACAGGTCTCAGAAAGAGATCTGTGGGCTCTGTACCTCTGTTGTGCTTTGCAGCTCACTGTGGTCCCAAAATGTTATTCCTCTCCTACGTGTATTGATTTGCCTTTCCTAAAAATAGCACTTCTTCTATTGCAGAAATGTTCTGAAATAAGTTGTTCAAGATTGCCTTTGATTTTGACTTTGTCTCTGGAGCTCTTTCCAGGTGTGTGTCACAGGCACATTTTACAATAATCCAAGTTACTGATGGAAGTACTTGGGAGACCTGAAGCCAAGACAAGTCACCTGAAATGCCCTTCCAGGGTGGCAGTGAACTGTGACAACAAGATCTTCTCTTGAGGATGACTTTTTTTTAATCCCTCGTGAAGACACTTGAGAATAATTATTTCTAGGAGGTGTCACAGGAGCTTGTTTGGTTGAACGCCACATGGGACAATGACCAAAGTCCTACTGAAGCAGAGGTGCTTCTTCGCCTGCTCAGCCAGGTGTCTGTCAGAAGAACTTAGCTTAATGTGCAATTTTGGCAAAACTATGGTGGGGTTTTTTAGTTTGTTTCTATTATTTTGGGGGGTCTTAACATCTTATTTATCATTCGTGTGTGTTTACAAATTAACTGTTAGATGATTTGTTCCAGAATGATTTTAGGGTTTGAAGTTAGGTAGACTCTGCCTGCCCTCCACTTTGCTCCAAGAGCCATGGCCTAAGTCATCTAGGTACACTTCTTAGATTGCTGGGGTTGCCTTCTTAGCTCTTTTGCTGAAATTGGTTATGTCATGTATCTGGTAAGTAAAAGAGGCACAAACACTTTAGCCCAACTGTTGCATTTATTTTCCTTCCTTGTGTGGTGGTTGATCTCTGCTCTTCTTTGTTGTCTTTAGTTTTTGGTGGGGTTTTTGTTGTTTGTTTGTTTGTTTTTATATAAAATTGTTTGTGTGTTTCCTTTTATGTCCCTAGCCAACTGAAGTTTCTTTAGCTCCTTGGCCTTCCTAATTTTACCCATGCGTGATTTTGCAGTTCCTATATAGTTGCCTTTAGTCATGTAATGGTGTTTTGACTTTTTATTGCGATTCTTTTCTAATTTTCCAGACATTAGAGAACTCTCTGAACAGGCATAATGGCCTGTGCTTTTGCCCTTCCTTTGAGTGACAATTGCTTTGGTTTGGGTTTTTTGTAGGTGGGATTTTTGTTGTTGTTGGCGTTTTTTTCTTTTAACTCTGTTGCTTTTTCTCTACTGTTGTCACATCGTAGAACTGAAAACTCATTTCATGATCACTGTCACCCAGATTACCCTCCCCTCCCAGTCCTCAATCAATTAATCTCTGTTAGTTTAGATTAAATCAGTAATGAATGTTCCTGGCTATTTATAAAGCCGGAGATGTGCAGCGCTTGTTCTGACTGCTGCAAGTGGGAGGCAGTGTTTCAGCAGCCGTCTACTCCGTGGGTTAAAAAGCTGTGTAAAAGTCAAACCCAGGCCTCCATTTCAAATGCAAAGTACTGCCTAAATTTCAAGGGAAATGGGTAAATGTGTCTCTGTTACTAAGTGTTGGTGTTCCAGATGATCTCTCATACGTCTTTGGAAAGCTCAAGGTAAAAACTCGTGTCCTGAGTTAACTGGATTTTACTTAAATGTTTCTAGCTTGGAAGCACAGGAAGGACAAGAATATGGATGGGTTTTAAAAGGGCGTTAAGTACTGCTCCAGCTTCTGGAGAACAAAGGAGAAAATGCACACAGTAAATGCATGTGTACACATACCTCTGCACGTATGCAGAATCCATGGGTTCCAGTTCTGCTCCTGCAAGTCGCTTCATGCAAGACCCTAGCATGGTCTTCTCAGTGTCTATTTGATCCCTATTTTATGACATTCCTACTTTCTAAGTGACTACAGTTCTTGTATGTATTTGAGAGAAGTTGCCATGTGTAGTAATTTGGCAAGTATTTTGAAATCCCACCAGGAGATGTTACAACGTTGCAGGAATGGTGTTATTCCCCTGAATGCTGGTGAGGGGTGCTCGTACTGTATGCTTTCACTTTGAGAACTTTTGTCAATGTTCCTGATTTTTGGTTGTGTTTTTCTGCACTCACAGTAGTTTAAGCTTGTGAGAAACCAATGTTTTAACTTGTTTAAATGCTGAAATTTGTTTGAGGTTTAAACTTGAACTTAATTTTCTTAGTAGCAGAGCTTAGCTTTGGCAGTGCTGAGCCGTCACCATTCCCTTTGAAACTGAGGGTTGCTTTTGGTGCTTAACCTGTCTAATAGTTAAAATAATAAATTTTAGTTTCATAGCTGGGTTATGTGTCTGACAGAAAGCAGTGGAGTCCAGCAATTCTAAGTTGCAGTGACACATTAGTGGTGACTATGATGTAATAAAATGTGTGCCAGCAAAACTGCCCAGATATCAAACTTTAAAAAAATGCATTGAGCTACTGTATACATTTTTGTTTCAAATTAATGACTTGAGCAACATGATGCCTCCTAATTTTTAATAGGTATGACAGACTGGATCCTTCATGGCCATCCTGATCTGTTGGGTGCATAATGTGTTCAAAATCTCTTTTTTATATGCATGTATGTATGGACAGGAGGTTGGTTTGAATCCCAGTGTGTGGTTTTTTTTTGCAAAACATGCCCATTCCAGTAAGAGTAGATAGTATATGCTGGCTAGTTTGTCTGCTAAGAAGTAGTAAACTGTGTATGGACTTAAGGGAAGTTGGGTGGGAGAGAGATAGTGTCTGAGGGCTAGAAAAGGAGATAATGAAAGCGTTAGCTTGTAAATAAGACTGCCTGTGTTTTGTGATACCGTAACAGGCTTTCCTGTAGATGAGGAAGGTTGTAAGAAAGGGAAAGAAAGGTTGCAAGAAAGGGACCTCACCCTTCCTAAGGCCAGAGGCCCTCCGAAAGCAAGAATTGGCTTTCTGGGGACTTTTTGGTTTATTTAAAAAAAAAAAAAAGAATCTATTTTCTTTTTTTACTATAAATGACCAGTCCCTCCTCTTGCCTGGGTGAAAACCATTACGTGAAGATTGTATGAAGGGGCCAGGAGTCAGGACTGCAGAACATGGTTGTCCAGTGTCTGGGATGCTGTGGCCAGGTGGTAACATTATTAATTTGCTTTTCTGTTTTCTGTTTCCTTCTTTCTGCTCCCCCTGCAACACTCCTGGCATTGGCAGGTTTCTAAAGTCAACGGGGTCACTCGAATGTCATCTCCGAGTGCAAATGCAGCCAGTGCCAAAAAGATGAGAGAAGTCAGACCTTCACCGTCCAAAACTGTGAAGTACACTGCAACAGTGACAAAGGGAACTGTCACATACACCAAAGCCAAGAAAGAACTGGTCAAGGAAACCAAACTAAATCACCACAAACCCAGTTCACCTGTCAACCACACAGTCTCAGGGAAAACAGAAAGTAGCAATGCAAAAACCCGCAAACAGGTGCTATCCCTTGGAGCATCCAAGTCTAACAATACCGCTGTTAATGGTGTAAAAGTCAATGGCAAGTTGAACCAAAAGACATGCACTAAGGAGGTGGGGAGACAGTTAAGGGAGGGGCTGCGCAATTCGAAGAGGAGGCTGGAAGAGATGAATCACATAGACAAAATACAGTCGCCCACCAAGAGAATGAAAGGGGCCGTCAACTTGGCAGAAGTTGCCAGCAAAAAGGCAGCCGTAGAAAAGCCTTTGCTGAATGGACACCTTAAAAAGGAAGTGCCAGAGAAGAGTTTGGAAAGAAACAGGCCGAAAAGAGCCACTGCTGGAAAGAGTACGCCAGGGAAACAAGCACATGGCAAAACTGAAAATGCCTCCTGTGAAAATCGTTCTACCTCTCAAGCGGAGTCCTTGCACAAGCCACAAGACTCAATGGGAAAGCACGAAAAGGGCAGTAGTAAGTCTGGGTGGGGGATGCTGGGGGAGATTCCCATCCTTAGGCCCTCCACCAAGGAATTTCATGACCCACTGATATACATTGAGTCAGTCCGAGCTCAGGTAGAGAAGTATGGGATGTGCAGGGTGATTCCTCCTCCAGACTGGAGACCTGAGTGCAAGCTAAATGATGAAATGCGGTTTGTGACACAGATTCAGCACATACACAAGCTAGGCAGGCGCTGGGGACCCAACGTGCAGCGGCTGGCCTGTATCAAGAAGCACCTCAAATCTCAGGGCATTACCATGGACGAACTCCCACTCATAGGTAAGGGCTGTGGTTTCATTGGCCTTTTGCCGCTGCTTGTTAGCGTCCGTATGCGACTTTATGCTCAGTCTGCCTTTATGCTTAACCGAACCCCTGTTCAATTAACGCTGCAGGGCACTGCATCTCTCTTTTTATCCATCGGTCAGGCATGATGCAGGTAGATTGTTGGAGAGCTTTCCCAGGAGACCACCTTTCCAGGAGACACCACCTTCCTCCTGCCAGCTCTTCATTTTATTGAGGGAAAAAAATAAAGCTGTGTGGGGTCTTGGTCTCCAGATTTCAGGATCTTCTCCTTTCCCTGCTGTTTGTTTTTGTAGGTAGTACAACTATGGGTATCGGTAGCCTGGGTTAAGTGTTGCCTTGGAATATTTTTTGAACCTTTCCAAAGATGTTTTCCAAACAGGTTACAGTGCTGCCAAGCTTGAATACAAATATATTTTTTTCTCCCTTTCCTTTAAAAGCATTTAACCAAGGGGAAAAGAAAATATCTCGGAACTGACTTCTATTTGGGTACTCAGACACTTAAAATCACAAATTTGCAGTGACCTGCTGACATTTAACAACCATTAAGTGTCAAGAATAGGCAGTAAAATGTGGTTGATTGCAAAATGGAGGTTTCATTATTTCTCCCAGCAGGTGTCTGCCAGGGCTAATGCCTGAGTGAGAATCACTTATTTAACAGAATTCTTGGTTTATGGTCTGCTGTCAAATATGACACGTGACAAAACTGTGACAATAGTTGGTAAAAACATGACAACAGCAGCATACAAATGAACTGTGGAATGAGCCACCTCCATCTCTACTGCCTTTGCAGCGATAAAGTAGGAACAAACTTGTGGGTTTAATTTTTGTTAGCCCTTCCCTTTGTTTCTGAAGTGTTTTGAGTCAGAGCTCGCAGGGCCTGCATGTTGGAACTTGAGGCTAGAGTTTTGCCTTTGAGGCGTCGCGCAGAGGCAGCTGTCGATGCGAGTTGGATTGAAGGGCACGCTTTTCTGTTTACACTGCGCACAGCACTTCCCCCCCTTACCCCCGTTTTCAAACTTTATATCAAATATGGTAAGTGAGTGAAAAATGCCTGAAAGCACACAAAGAGATTGCAGAGCTTACGGTGAACCAGTGCAGGGCACAACAGTGAAATGGCAGAATTTAAGGAGAAGGAACAAGGGTTAGCCCTCTGTTGCAATAGCTGTGCAAAAACGTTCAAGGAAATCTGAAAATTAAAATCACTCAAGCAGCAATAAGTGAACATTTTGTATGCCTAATGTATGCAATGGTTGTATGCTAATAAAGAAGAATAATGAATTTAATTTACATTGGCATGAGAGAGAAGAAAATGTGCAAGACAGCTCGATTAACACTCCTGGAACAATGTTAACTTTTTAATGAAATACCTTTACTCGGCATTAAGGTAGCATTACTGTTAATTATTTGTATTATTTAAGCACCTAAGAGCCTAATTAATAGGCAAAGATTCTATTCTACTGGGTGCAATATAACCAGAGCAAACAGTGGTCTCTTATAAAATTTGCATCCTATGTATCCTTTTTGCAGTTAATTTCCTACCTATCTAGTGTTTAAAATTAAAAACAAAATGGAGGAAAGAAGCTGGAGATCATCGGTGTACAAAGATGAGAAATCTGTTGGTTCCAGCAGGAAAGATATAAAATGATCTGTGGTGATAAATGCACACTTATTTAAGTAGCCAAGCGTACATATCCCTTCTTTCAGGGCCAAATCACATTCCCATTGAAGTAAGTGGGAATTTTGGCAATGACTTATGTAGTGCCAGCGTTTGGTATTAAATGCATACCTGAAGATTTAAGATTTCTTTTTTCTTTAAATGAGCTTTCTTAGTAGGCAATTTAAAAATATTCATAACAATGAAATTAAGACAATTTAAAACAAAACCCCAAACCCAAAAATCTCACAAAAAGTCATTTCTGTGTAACATGTGCCAGGGCTCCTACTTAAGCCATTCTGTTATAGGTGCTTATAAATATTTTTATTTTCCTTCAGCTTTTCAAGGAAACTTTAAGCAACATGCTTAGGTCAATGCTGGAAAACATCAGCCTGAGATATCAGTGCTTCCAAAAGTTATGACTGTGTGAAATGGAATTATAATTGAGACCATTCTGTAAACCTTAGCTGTAGCTGGCCCTATGGAGGGTCTGCCAGATGCGCGAGGCTGGATGATGTGCTACTCAAGCTCTAATATTCCGGAGTGATTATGAGCGATCGTTCCATGATGCAGGAGAAAATCACATTTCTTAAATAGCTCATAAACAGTGTTGGAAGTAGGACCTTAAGCTGGGTGTGTGCTATTTATCCCACTGGAGAACACGTATAACATTAAACTTGGGCCACGCTTCTATCAAATTAGGAGTATGTAACTCAACTTTATGTAGGTCGCTGAATCTATTGGGATGAAAAGCCATCTTAAATTATGCCTTCAGCTTATTTGTGAACTGTGCATATAAAACACTATACCAAAAAAGTAACAGCCTGTAATAGAGGCAGCTTGAAAGTTATTTTATGGAAGATTAAAGAGAGAAGAAAGAAAACCTTTGAAATTTGGGGTTTCTTTTTCCGATGGTGGTTACTTTCTCTCAGCTTCAGTACTTAACCATTCTGACACCTCACCCCTCCTCCCCCAAAAAACCCCAAACAAACCCCAGTTACTAAATTGGATAAATCTGCTGCCCCATGGCCCTGCCTCCACCCTTGTCATATACTCCTCAGAGCCTTACCCTTGGTTTTGGCCACAGCCAAAGCCTTTCCACCCTTCTCACACCTTTGCCCGGCGCTGTGCTGGCAGCAGTAACGAGCAGGCTCTGCCCCGGCCGCAGCTGTTGGCATCCCAGAGTGTTGCACGTAGGTTTGCACTGCTGAGCCTCCCCCCCGCACTGGGTTGGCACAAGAGCCTGAGATGCAGCATGGGGGCGTGTGAAGAAAGTCATACTGCTTGCACTAGCAAGCAAGAGAAGATGCTATAGCTGTGCATCCAAAAGTAAATATTTATTATAACGCTGCTTCTTGCACTTCTCTGTTGTATAATAGCATTTCTGAGTGCTCTGAAACGCCTATGGCATAATGATTTTTTATTTTTCTCAAAAGAAAAAGGGGAAAGAGACAATGTGGCGGCAGCGATGTTGACACGAGTTTTGTATTAATTCTTCTTTTTCCTTCAGCAGTGCCCTCTTGAATTGTAGGTGGTCTTTGGTCCGTTTCTTCACTCTTTCTAGTGATGATTTATTTCTGTGCTTTGAGACTATTTATGATGTTTATTTTATTGTTCCTCATCCATTTGGCTGCTTTGTATGCTGCAGTTTGTGTAATTCTCCATTTTTATTTTTTGACTGGAGTGTGAAATGTGCTAGTCATCTTAAAACATACAATAACATAATGGAGCATAAAATATGGATGCCTCACACTGGAAGAATAATGTGTCTGGAACTTTTTTATGCAGTTGCAGGCACCAACCCCAAGCAACCCCCCACCTCCCTTGGTTTTTTTAAGTTTTTTTCTGCGTGTAGTGAAATCAGTGAAGTTACTGTGCTGCTTTTAAATACTAACTATTCAAAGTGGTGTGCAGACATTAGGTAATTGACGTTTCACCTCCAGAAAGGATAAGTACATGTCTTTTTGATTGCCAGCACCCATCTTGACACTAATTTTGCAGCTTCCTGGCATAAACCAGATGTGGGAGTGGTGGCAGTTGAGGGGAGGGTGGGAATTTGTGGGAGTTTTAAAGGACTGGGCAAGTCTCATCTCCATGACCCCTGGGTAATGACCAGGGAAAGATGCGTGTCATGGGTGGGCTTTGAGGAGAGAAGGGAATGAAACACGAGCAGGAGAACAAATTTAAACACAGGGAAAGCTATTGCAAATAGTAAAATATGATCTGCTGAATGAATTCAGCTATCAAAAGAGTCTTGCGCATCTGTCTTTAGCGGGAGGTGTACGAGAGAGGGACAATCCTGCTCTGGTGCCCAGGTGACTGGAGCTGTGCAGGTGGCACATCCGATAGGTTCCCAGCCTGGTAGCATGCTTGATGTGAGCCGCCACAGCTTTCCTAACCTGCTGCTGTGTTTCCCTTTCCCCTCCTCTGCTGCCTGGCACACACGGACCCCAGGAGGCTGCGAGCTCGACTTGGCCTGCTTCGTCCAGCTGATCAACGAGATGGGGGGGATGCAGCAAGTGACTGACCTCAAGAAATGGAACAAGCTGGCAGACATGCTGCGCATCCCCAAAACTGCACAGGACAGGCTGGCCAAGGTGCAAGAAGCCTACTGCCAGTACTTGCTCTCCTATGACTCCCTCTCCCCTGAGGAGCACAAGAAACTGGAGAAGGAGGTCTTGCTGGAAAAGGAAATCTTGGAGAAGAGGAAAGGACCTTTGGAGGGACATTCAGAGAATGCCTACAAGTTCCATTCCTTGCCCCGGTTTGAGCCCAAAAACGGACTCATCAATGGCGTGGTTCACAAAAATGGCTTCCGCAACAAGTTAAAAGAGGTCGACATCCCACTGAAGACGGGCAGGCGGCGGCTCTTCGCTCAGGAAAAGGAGACCACGAAGGAGGACGAGGAGGAGGAGGAGGGAGTTCTTAGTGACTTACACAAGTGTATATACAAGGTAACGAGGCAAGCTCTGCCGATTTTGCTTTGCAGAACTGATGATGCTGTTGTCTGTGTGGCATCTGGGTGCAAACCCACCTGGCTGGGGGGAGCTGATGGGCTGCAGTGCCACCCCCAAGGCAGCAGCACAGCCACCAGCTATCACAGCCGGGTGGCCTGGTGGCTTTATCCTGATCTGCCTGACTCTCATGGGGTGTCTGGAAAAGCTGGGAGGTGTTAGTGTCATAAGGAGGTGCACTGGGCTCTGCCTCCCTTCATCTCCTTGTGAGAGGTCCCTGAATAGCTCAGCCCAATTATCCTTTCAGACATAGTTTTTATTTTCATTTTCTAGTGACAT